CTCCCCAGAGCTGCTCAGGTGATGCACTGACCCTGAACAGTAGGTGGGCAGGAAAATAAACTTTTTCATAAACCATGATAGAAATCCATTATAAAGGCACAGTATAGGACCCACTATATTACCTTAGTGCCACCTTGTCAAATGTGTGTGTGGTCTCTATATTCTCTCCTATCCGTTTGGGTGAGAAGGAAACCTCTAGCTTATGTTTCATTTACACATCAGAAAAAAAATTAGACTTTTTTTCCCTCTTGTCTGTGAAGGCAGCAGCTCAAATGTAGCTGGATCAAAGAAACAGGACAGCTATGCTTTTGAACAATGACAATGAAGAAATAAAGGATCAAACCTACAAGCTCTTAATCCAGGGATCTGAGGGGAATAAGATCCACCAGGCTGCTCTGACACCGTCACACAAACCACAACATTATTAGGACTAAACTAAGATTAAAATTGGGACTAAACCTAGACTAGAACAGGACTAGAAATTGATTAAACCACATCTACAACGAGCCTGATTCATCGGCCATCTGACCTCATGGTGTTAAAATTTGTTTGCTCGATGGTAGGCAGGTACTTTTTTAATTTAACCAATCGCTGCTATTTGGTCGTGACGTATGTAATGTGCCACAAATGGGGCTAACTGGTATATTAAGCTTTTCCCAAATCCTGTAGGAAGAAGGGCAATAATGTCTTTCCCCTTGACAAAATTCACCAAACATTCTCTTTGTTCCGGCTTTAAATCCTCGATTTCGGGAATCGTTGCCAACACAGAATGTATAGATCTTCACTGATTAGCTGGTGCCGGACTCGCACTTCCGGGGTTTTTGCGAACCGTCTAGTGTATTCCGAATCCTGACCTAGTCGCTGGAGAGAATTGAAATTGAGCGGAGGCACTAGGTGGCGCCAGCCTGGCTAGAAATAATTCACACCTTAATCTAATTTTAAAAAGAAAAAGTGTCCTATCTACAATTATATTAGCCTCTCCAACATAACACAATAAATAAAGATATTTGGATATTGTTACATCTGTAGTTAATACACATTTTAACAATAACTAAAAGTACAAATAGCAATGTATTAGTCGTATTTAGTGTATTTCCAGAAGCTCAACATCACTTTACAATTCACACTTGCCCTGGGACAGCTATAGCAATCTGCACTATTGGTCCCTCCAACCACTACAGGCAGGGTGGGTGAAGTGACTTGCCAAAGGACACCAGAACAGATTGCACTAGACTAGAGCCACTGCCACCCCACTCTGGCACCTTGTATGCCCAGCAGTAACCCATCCAAGTACAAACTGGGCCCAACCACACTTAGCTTCAGAGACGAACTCGGGCGTTGACAAGGAGGTATAGCCCCAACCAAACTATTTCAAATATGTAATGTTAAGTTACAAATATGGAAGTCTATGGTCAGTAACATTTACACAGTAGCCCTCATAGTCCATGTTTAAAACTAAAATGTTCTTTCGGTCTCTGTGTCTGGTCTGGGAGGTGGCCATCTTGACTTGGCGCTGGTCTGTGTGGCCTGAGCAGTGAAATGCTCCCATAACAATGACAACAAACTGGAGAATGTTTGAATGAAACATATGTACCAGAATACCCCGGTTTATAGGACTGGTACCATGCCTCATAAAGGATCACAAAAACACAGACTGCCAGGCCAACTGTAGTTAAATATGGACACAGGGAATCTACAGGGCAGATTTTACATAGAAAACTGTGTCAAAGCAGTAGCAGAACAATGAATCAAAACCTGTCCTTGGTAATGTCAAATATGTCATGTTTCTCTGTCTAGAATGTTCCACAGTATGGCATTAAAATTATCTAGCTTGCATTTATTCAGTTACAGGTGTTTTTATTGCTCAAAATATCTCGAGGAAAACATAAATTCTTACTGTGAATGGTCTCACCTCTCCACAGATCTGACCTGTAAAGGGCAAATTATAGTTCTACATTGAATAGGCACACCCTGTTGCTGTCGTCTTTCGCCGTTGTTTTTGATTTATGGGTCTGCGTCAAGGTCTATGCACCGCGAAGTAATTCACCGCCAAAACACTAGGAGGGTAGGATTTAAAACTGGCGTTTGTTTCTGCAAAATGAAGCCGCAAAGCAGAGTACAAGAAATGTGTGTAGAGAGGATGCAGAAAGGACCAGTCACAGCCCTTATTGTATGCGGCGCTTTCCTTTCTGTTTGCATCATTTCGACACGTAGCTTGAAAATTTCGGAGGTGCACGTCAGTCGACGCAGAGGGGGCTCACGGTGACGCAAACTCTCTGCATCGTGGCGCAGGCGATTTGATGCATGACCATTAGGGGTGTAACGATATCCAAGTCTCACGATACGATATCGTTACGGTATGAACCTCACGGTGCAATATTTATTGCAATATCATAGCAAAGCTCACAATATGGTGGGGAAGCTCACGATAAGGAATGTAACAATATCCAAATCTCTCGGTTCGATATTTTCATGATATACATCTCACGGTATGATATTTATTGCGATATTTTGTGGAAGCTAACAAAACTATTAATATGTTACTTGTTCTTTTTAGAATGCCTTGACAAGACTTAATCCAAAGAAAGAAGACTTAAAAGTTCTTAGAACTGTTATTTCTTCATGTAGTCTACACTCAAATGGAGCAAAGGATCATGGTCTATGTAGTTCCCTCAGTTTTTTTAGCTATTGCTGCACCATAACTATTCATTTAAGTGAAGAGGCTTGCAATTTGATATATTGTGATGGTCCACGATATTATTGCGAAAACTTTGATGATACGATATTATGACATTTCGGTTATTGTTACATCTCTAATGACCATAAATTGGGCTTAACTTAGTGGGGTCACCTGCTTGTCTTCTTGGAGATACAGAAGTAGGGATGTGTCTGATATCTGTGCCGATACTGAAACATTTGCTGGATATCAGCTTTCAAATCCTGGTTGGTAATGTAATGTAATAAGACTATTTAATGATGGTAGTTGGCCTCATAATGTTTGAACTTTTATATATTAAGATGTTCTGTTTGGATCAGTTTTGTCTTATTTAGTTTAAAGGAAATAAATGCAGTTTTCAGTCTCTGCTCTGGTATTGGTTGATATCGAGTATCTTTATCTGCTTAAAGGTATCGTACCAAAATCTGTATCAGAACTGAAAAAGCTGGCTCGCAACTCTACACAGATGTTCAGTAATGCCATACAGTGTAACATTCCAAGCAAAGCAAAAACATTCCAGTAAAATAAAATGTGTAAAATGACATAAAATGATCTGTATAACACATGTCGGAAAGCTTGTACACATTAACAATTACAAATATCTGTCAATATGAGTTGGCATTTCAGTTCAAATCATAATTGGAATACATTTTTAGTAGACAGAATACCCATCTCCTCTTCATCTGTTTATGAGCAAATATTTTCTGTTTTGTTTTCCTTCCTCTGTGTTACAAACATATTTTCACTGCCACAGAGACAGTCTGTTCAGCAGTGGGCACCCGCAGTACCGCACCCATGGGACCCCTCAAAGCTTCAGATCGGGAGCCAGGTTCTTAGTCAGGAGAAGCTCACTGAAGTTTGGATTATACTCTTACAGGCATTGTCCCAAACTCCACTCAAAAAACCCCAGGAACCAAACCAACCAGGAACATCTTGCTGTGAGATGACGCTGGTGCAGAAATAGGAAGCTACAGTCATATTTCTGAGATGATTTTGAGGTTTAAAATAGCATTCAGAAACAGAACATTTCGATCGATATGTTTTTGTTTGTTTTTGTTTGTTTTTTTCATTTCTGATACTGATGCCGTTAGTTGAGAGTCCAGAGAAACAGATGGACGATATTTTTAGGTCTATATAGGGACCATTTTGATAATGTTCCCCAAATTCTGTTATTAAAATGTATTATAAACTCACCCACAGCCTTTTTTTTTTTTTTTTTAACACAAGCCTGTTAGAGTTGAGTTGTCATGTTTTGTTGTTATCTCTTCAAACTAAAGTGTTAAAATAAAACTTGTGTACTCTTTATACAGCAGGTCTGCTAAAACAAAATGGGGTCTCCTCTCCACAGATCTGAACCTGTAATTTGGCCTGATAGCGCCACCTGCTTGCTCCATAGATACGTACAAGCAATAACATCTCCACGGATACAAGCAGATGACTGACCCTCCACCGGAAAAGTTACTCAGTGCACCTTTAAATGTCCATCACCTGCTTGTCTCCATGGAGATACTATTGCTTCTCCTGGAATGTTCCTTAGTCTGACATTAAATACTATCTAGAATTTATTAATTTACGGGTAGGGGTGTGCAAAAATATCTACATATCTACATATCGTATCGTTTAATGTGATGATACATTATCGATATCATGGGCAAGAGTATTTTTTGGAATATTTTACCTAATTATTTTGTTTTGTTGCTTGTTCAGAGGAAGGAAGCTCGTTTATGCAACTCATTTGAAATTTTCACAGTTTTGATTATTAAAAGGGGTGTGTTTCTTATTCACTTTGCACAAGAAGTGGTTTAATAAAGACTTATCATAGCCACAATTTAGACTTTATTTTTTAATGAACCGTATCAGACTGTTTGGAAATATATCATACTGAATCCTATCGAATCATATCAAATCGAAAGTGCACTGTATCGAGCTAAGTATCGTATTGTGGCCTATGTATTGAGGTATGTATTGTATTGGCAACCTTTTAATTATACCCAGCCCTAATTATAGGTGTTTCTATTTCTCAAAACTACAATCATTCCTTCTGTGAATAGGGTTGCCTCTCCACAGATCTGACCTGTAATGTAGTCTATAGTTGTCTCCCTTGAAGTAGATGGGTTTAATCTCTACCGTGGAACATTCTAGCCAAAGCAATAACATCTCCATGAAGACAAGCAAATGGCAGACCCTACACCAAAAAAATTACATAGTGCACCTTTAAAGAACAACTCTGAAGATTTCTGTTTGAAAAGAATCCACACTATAAAACACAAAAAAGTGAACTCACCGTGTTGAAGTTGGGGAAAAGACTGAGCGGAGAGGACCCATTGAGCCTGAAGGGCAGGAGATGCTTGAGGTCGATCTGAGGCTGCAGTGGGCGCCCGGGGACAGGCAGAGAGGCCAGGAGGGGGCCCCCTGGTGCTGACGAACCTGCACAACACATGGACACACAAACACAACATTAGGAAAACATATGGCACAGACCACAGAGCGAAATGTTGGGAGCCGGTCAGGTGTAGCGCTCGGTACAGGGCGACTTTGATGGATTCGCCACCGGAGGCAGCGTTGCACCTTCTACAGGATAGCAGAAGTACAACACAGATGTAATGTGTTTGTGGCCCCTCGGCTGATGGGGCGGCGTATGGGACAGAAAAGGGAGGCTAGTTTTTTTGTGGTTGTTGATTCTAAATAGAGAGTATAGCAGCACATATATTTCAATTTTAGACTATAAACACTACTCCAACTTCTAGGCCCAGAAGAAAAATGTATACTTTACATTTACATCATTATTACATTTATATTTTCTCACACCAAATTGGTATATTGTACAACATTTATATTCAAAAGAGACATACGTAAAAACATTTATGAGATTTTACTTACACAATATGGCAATAAACTTATCTTACAGGCCAGATCTGTGGACAGGCAAGCCTACTCAAGTTCAAATGCATGCTTTTCAAGGTGTTTCTGAGCAATAAAACACTGATAATTAAATCAGTGCAAGATAAATTACTTTAATGCCATACAGTGGAACATTGTGGGTAAATTGAGACAGGTAGGTGACAGACCCTTCACCTTTAACTTACACAAAGTTGTATTTTATTTGATTCACGCATATTTGATTCTGAATAATTCTGAATAATCATGCATTTGAGGCTTGAGTACTCAAAAAATATTTTCTCCTACCCCCTATCTCTGCCCACGCTCCCTTTCCAAAAAAGTCACAACCAAGGTCATACATATAGGGTTCAAAAACATACTATATTCATATAAAATATACTGACATTTTTTCATCAGTAAAAAAACAAATGAATGAAAATCTGCTGCTTGTTAAAGTGAAATGTTTCAAAGTTGTTTTAAGTAGTATTAGTAGTATTCACACTGGTCCACTGACACTACTTGATCAATATTCGCTAAAATATATTTATGTAGTATATGCAGTCAGTTCAATCATGGAGATACGCGCTGTAGCCTGCCCCCTTTCACCCCCATTACCAAGACTATACCCCCTGTGGGACTCTTACACCTGACATTACCTATACACTCGCCCAGAAACACGTCATTTAATTACTGATTTATTGGCCGAGGAAAACGGCGAGCGTGAGGGAAAGACGGACGATATCGGATCTGAAACGGACCGAGGATGGCGGGATTTCTAATTTTCCGCTTGACTGCGTTTCCGTGGAGCTTATCTCGAGACCAGGATCAATCATCGATGTCACCGTTGGGTCGCCATGGACACCCCAAAAAAATCAAGATTCTTTCTACAATACAGTAATGAAAAGAGAGTGAGAAAACCTATACTGAAAAAAAGCAATCATTGACCTTAACAACAACAATCTTGGATACACAAGAAAGGTCAACTTTTGTCAAGGGTTGCCATAGTGAATCAGTGGCAAGGTTGCAGGGTAAAGATTTTTTATGCCAGATGCCCTTCCTTCCACAACTAGTAGCCACGTTACAGTGATTTGAGGACAGAAGAACTTTAAATTTCAGGAGTTCACTTATCATGGGTAAAGGTGCACTGTGCAACTTTTTGGTTGGGGTCCTTTACCTGCTTGTTTCTATGAATATGTCATTGCTCTGCCTTGAATGTTCCACAGTATGACATTAAATAGCTTTACTTTACATTTAGGTGGTTGTACTGCTCAAAAATACCAAGAAAAACAGGCATTCTGACTGTGAGCGGGGTTGCCTCTCCATAGATCTGACCTGTAACTCGGGCTGTTTGGTCTCTTAATACCAGAACCAAAACATTCCAGACAAAGCAATAACATCTCCATGAAGAAAAGTATTTGACCATGATGGACACTCCACTCAGAAAAGTTACGCAATACACCTTTAGAGTGCAGATAGAAATAAAAACAAGTTAAAAAAGATAAAAAATAAGATAAGCAAAAAATATAAAAGTGTGTGACAGTTTAAATTATGCAAACATAGGTTGGTAGTTAAGAGTATGACCAATATAGAAAGACAAAAACAGTTTACAAGTTAAAACCAGCAACCTTCAGATGGTAGCCGAATGCTTAAAGCAACACCACGTAACTTTCTGGAAGTTGCGCATAACCTGGATGATTCCATAGAGATAGAAAAGTTTTATGCCATACTGTGGAACAAATAAGAGACAGGTTTGTGGAGACGCAAGCCTGCTCACAGCAAGTCTATTGCTTGTCTAAAAGTAAAATAATTTCTTGTGGATCAATAAAGTTTGTCTAAGTCTAAAAGTTACAAGCTTATATGTACTAAAGAGCGTTGCCAAAATAGGGAGACAAAAACAGTATACAAAAAATTTGAACCAGCAACTTTAAAGTGATGGGCAAATACTTAATCCACTAGACAACTGTCACTCCAAAATGTCTGTACTAAAAATACTTGAGCAAAAGTTCATTGGTGGTGGTTGAAAAAAAAAAGTACTGATTAAAATATGCGTAAGACCTTTACGTAAAGTTGAATTAGCATTTTGTGAACAGTCTGTGTCTGATTGCAGCTGTTTGTCCTGAAGAGGCTGAGCGTTTTGATAAAATGAATAGCTTCTTAATTGCTTAAAATGTTATGTTCTGAATATGATTTAAAGGGCAACAAGACACTTATAATCAAACGCGTAAAGATGAAATTTGACAGAAATTGTTTAGCGAGACTTAAAGGGCCATTTTATGTTCAAGCTGTTGTCAGACATCTCGAAAACCACCACTATGACACTTTTATAACTATATATAATGTATGTATTTAGTAATTTTAGTGGTCATTGTTACCATCAGAGAGCTGTTCCACCTTGTGATTTCATGAAGTAGTAGTTTTCATGGTACATTTGTTGAGTAGAGATAGGAAAATTCAGGTAGGAAATTATCCAAATGAATCTAGTGAAAGTGTATGGAGTTTAAAAATACAGTGGAGCACTTCTTGTATCACCACATGACATCACAATGTGGAACAGTGTTTTCTATTTGAGAGAAGAACTCAGCCTAAATATGCAGAATTTGTGTGTTAATCAAAAGCTTTTCTTCATGGCGATGCGTTTGCTTTGTTTGGAATGTTTCACAGTGTGGCATTAAACCTTTCTATCTTCACAGAGACCAAAACAGACCTAGTTACAATTCAGATCTGTGGAGAGGCAAACCCCGCTCACAGTCAGAATGCTGTTTCTCTAGGTATTTTTGAGACATAAAACCACCTGTAACTGAATAAATATAAGGTAGAGCTGTTTAATGCCATACTGTGGAACATTCTAGGCAGACCAACGACATCTCCTTAGGAAAAAGCAGGTGACAGAGCCTCCACCAGAAAAGTTACACAATGCACCTTTAAACATGAACCAAACAAAACTCCAGGTATGTTTTTCATGACAAAACATTATAACACAGATCTGAAAATAGCCTCATTTTTTCACCCATACTCCCATATACGTAAAACTACCCTTATTCAGATCATGGATATCAATTTAACAGGCTTTTCACTGCTTATATTGAAACAGATGAAGCACTGTACATGCATATCCTATCTGAAAAACAGTGTACAACGTGTGGGAGGTCTGTCCATATGCTCCTCTGGCCTGGCCCCCGCCTGTTGTGCGTCCATGGGGCACTGGGATGCTTCTGACCGGTTCGTGTGGAGATAGAGCAGACTCATACAGACACATGGGCAGGGAGACGCGCAGCTCTTTGGCAGGCCTATCGGAGCAGAGCCGGGCATGCTGGGAGGACAGTTATCTGCTATCGCACATCCCACCTCCCGGAGACTCCCCAGGCAGTTTATTAAATCAGGGTTTGGATGGCTGCCGGCCCCGACGATAAAGGCGTTACAGAGGAAGGCGAGTTTGGAGCGAAATGAGCAAGAAGAAATGTGGAGGAGGCGGCAGGAAAAGCATGAGACAGCAACATGTTGGTATTAAGAGGTTCAAGGGGTGCTGTTATGCAAGAACGCAGCAGAGTGGAGACTGTAATATCAAAAAATGCACGATCAGCTGGCATATGCAAAACAGAAATAATAAAAGTTTATGAACCCGCACCTGTACACCATGTTAGGATACTAATTTCACTAAAACACAGTTAAAGGAGCACTGTGTACTTTTTTGGTTGGGGGTCCGTCACCTGTTTGTTTCTATGGATATCAGTGGCAGTTCTAGGATTTTTCTGAAACAGGGGCCACATGTTACATTCAGGGGCCAAGTGCAGAGCACGTCCAAGCGCACAAAAGATTAATTCAGTACGATGCAAATACATATGGACAGTCCAGTAACTTTTTTCAAACACAAATAAAACATGATTATTAATGTCATATGTTAAGGTAATGTGTAATAATGTTCATGTAATATTAAACATGATTTTCTTATTTATTTATACTACGACGCAATACATAAAACAATACTCACGCATGCAGGCACATTTACACTCTTACATATGTAGCACACACCCGTGCACACACATACACAAATGGAATCCAACAGAGTTTCAAGCACAGTTAAAAAAAAAAAAAAAAAAAAAAAGCCCTCCACAAGTCTGTTTCTTCTCCCATTAAATAGTTTTGACGCAATAGGTCTACTGCCGCCAAGAGTTTGGGGGTTGAATTGCATCAGTGATCATTGAATTCTCCGGTTGTTATTCTCGTCAGGTGATTGGCACAACAGGGGCACTTCAGGGGCTAATCAGATTAGAGGTGGGGCCAGGGCGCCTGTAGCCACTCTCCTAGAACCGCCCCTGATGGATATGTCATTGCTCTGCCGACAGCTCTACCTTTTATCGTGGTTTTAGAGATAAAAAATACCGAAAAAAAAACAAGCATTCTGATTGCAAGCAGGATTGCCTCTGCACAGCTCTGACCGTAACATGGTCTGGTTTAGTCTCCCAGAAGATAAAAAGGTTTTAAACTGTACTGTGAAATATTTCGGACTAAGCAACATCTAAATGGAGAAAAGTATTTGATGGGAGTCT